CCTCCTCTGTCGGGGGCGGCCAAGAGGGGGGCGTCCAAGAGGGGGGGGTGCAAATCATGGCCGGCAGCATGTGCGCGGCCCAGGGGGGGGGGGCCCGGGGACGTAATGAATCAAGAAGTGGCGCCATGAAATCTGGGGACATGTCATGGCCCACGCCATGATATCCACCCCCCCTAGTCATCGCCCCCCTCTTTTCCGCCCCCGACCGCTGCCTCCTATGAATTAACGGGCGAAGAACGGCATAAAATAAACTTTTTCGCCGTCGGGGCCACCTGCCCCTGGGCGGCTGGAAAGTTTATACCTTTACGGTGGCACCGTAGGGGTATAGACTTCCCAGCCGCCCAGGAGCAGGTGGCCCCGACGGCGAAAAAAATCATTTCAACCGTTCTTCGCTCGCTGAATGAACACGTGCCGGAAATCCCGGAAATCCATCTGCCTCCTCTGCTCCCGCCGGGGCCGCCCGCGCAAGCTTTGGCGCGAGGCGGCCCGCCGGGCTCCGCCGCGGGCGCGGGGCGCCCAGGGCCCCCCCCCCAAGGAGGCGACAGGACGCGGAGAGCGGAGAGGGGCGGAGGGGACAACGGGGGGGACAACGGGGAGGAGGAGGAGGAGGAGGAGGAGGAGGAGGAGGAGGAGGAGGAGCAGGAGGAGGAGATGAGAGGAGAGGAGGAGAAGGATGAGGAGCAGGAGCAGTAGGAGGAGCAGGAGGAGGAGCAGGAGGAGCAGGAGAAGGAGGAGGGGGAGCAGGAGGGGGAGGAGGAATACTGGGAGAGGAGGAGGAGGAAGAGGAGGAGGAGGGGGAGGAGGAATATGGGGAGAAGGGCGTCGCACGCGTGCGCCCGCATTGACCATCTCTTCCAGAGCGGGGGGATCGCCGGAGTCTTACCAACACGTCCAACGTACTCCGCCTCCTCGACCGCGACAAGCCGCCCCGAACATTCCCCAAATGATAAGCCAAACCTGAGTGGGCCCTGATAAGCCAGACCTGAGTGACCTGAAATTGACCGGTTCCCGCTCCGGTTCCAATCCTGGAGCCGTTTCCGGTCGCCGTTTTTGCTGCCGTTTCCATTTTCAAGGGGCACTTCTCGGAAACGGTGAAAAAACGGCCCTGCCGTTTGCGGGGCCCACTGAGGGCCAGAGCGCTCGCAGAGCTCAAAGATCGACGGCCCGTCCCAGCTGTCAGCCGAAGGTCGGGGCGTATCACCAGGAGGCCGACGCACTTCCCGATGGACCACGCCAGCCAGCCTCTTCCCGAATCCCACCAGTCCTTCGGGGCTTGAGTGGTTAAGAGCGTCTCCTCTTCCACCCACCCTTCTTCCCTCCCCTTTGGGGAAGGGTTTACCCTCCCCCCTCCCCCCTCCCCCTGGACGGGAGGGTTCGCGGGTCGTTGGAGCGTCCAAGATGGCCTCGGCGAGAAGACTTTCATTGTGCTCGGGTTCTGGGCGCATTTTGGCCTCAAAGGGAGGTGCTAATTGGAGCCCCCCCTTCTTTGATCGATCACCTCCAAGGTGTGCCCCGAGAGGGTTCCAAAAGGCGACCAGGATGCCCCAATCCAAGATGCCCCCGGTTTGCCCCCAAGGGGCTCCCAAGAGACCCCCAAGAGGCCCGAAGAGGATCCCCCGAGGCACCCAAAACGCTTCAAGAGGCCCCCGGCACCGCCACGAAGCCGCCAAGATGCCCCAACAGGCTTACAAGAAGCTCTCAACGCGCCCCTCGCCAGCACGCGTCGCAGAGCCGAGCCGCCACGGCCACTGCAGAGAGGCGGCCCGCCGCAGTCCATCCCCCCCCCCCCCCCCCAGGGCGCCAGGGGCGTCTGAGAAGCCTCCTCCCTTCTTTTCCCCCTGCCGTCTCCTCCTCCTCCCTGCTGCTCCCCCGCCTCCTCCTCCTCCTGTTCTTCCTCCTCCTCCTCCTCCTCCTCCTTCTCCTCCTTTTCCTCCTCATCGTCCTCCTCCCTGACGGGCAGGTGCCTGAACCAGGGCTCGGAGGAAGAGGGAGAGGATGGGACTGGGGATAGGAAGTGGAGAGGGAAACATTAGAGAAACTAATCTCACCATAAACATACACTTTCGGAGCTCCCCGCTGATTTCTTGGATCAGCGCTGGACTCCCTAATTATGGCGGCGCCTCTGGCGCCGCCCCTGGCGCGCTTCGCGCGCCATGAAGCGGGCTGCAACGCCTATCCAAGAATCCCGTTCGAATCTGCGACACCTTATGCTTATGCTGTTGTCTCCCGCAACAAAGAGGAGGGAGAGACGAGGAGCCAGGGAAGCACAGAAAAAAAAATACGGAGCAAACGGCGGCAGCGCGGCCGCGGCATGCGGAAGAGGGCGGAGGGGAGGCAGGGGGCCGGGGAGGGCCGTGGAGATCTCAACGAGAGCGCTCCTGAAGCAAGAGGCGGGGAGGCGAAAGCGAGGAGGACGGGGAGGGCGAGGAGCGGGAGGGCAACGGCGGGGAGGACGGGGAGGCGGAGCTGGAGGACGACGGCGGGGCCCGGGCCGCCGCTCGAGTCGCGTCACCTCCCCGGCCGCCTGCCCGACAGCACCGCCTGGCCGCGCGGGGCCCCGCGCGCCCGGGCGGCGGCCAGCGGCCGCGCAGAGCCCCAGCTCACCACCTCCTCCTCCTCCTCCTCCTCCTCCTCCTCCTCCTCCTCCTCCTCCTCCTCCTCCTCCTCCTCCTCCTCCTCCTCCTCCTCCTCCTCCTCCTCCTCCTCCTCCTCCTCCTCCTCCTCCTCCTCCTCCTCCCCTCCACCTCTTCCCCACCTCCTCCTCCTCCTCCTCCTCCTCCTCCTCCTCCTCCTCCTCCTCCTCCTCCTCCTCCTCCTCCCCTCCTTCCTCCTCCTCCTCCTCCTCCTCCTCCTCCTCCTCCTCCTCCTCCTCCTCCTCCTCCTCCTCCTCCTCCTCCTCCTCCTCCTCCTCCTCCTCCTCCTCCTCCTCCTCCTCCTCCTCCTCCTCCTCCTCCTCCTCCTCCCCCTCCTCCTCCGCCGCAGCCCGCGCCGCGCGCTCGCCCGATCGCGCGGCGCGACCCCCTGCCTCTGAGATCCTCTGGAGGGGCCTCAGGAGGGGGCCTCAAAACGCCTCTGGAAACCTGGGCGACCCGCAGACGGGGGAGAGAGGAGCCTCAGGGGCCCGGGAGGGGCCTCAAGGGCCTAGGAGGGGAGGAAAGCGGTGCCAGGGTCCAGGCGCTGGGGCAGGCCTAGATTTGCACTGGGCCCGCCTCCCCCCGACCACCACCTCCATAATGGAGTACGTACTCCTCCTCGTTCGAAAGACGCGGAGGTGGTGGTGTGGGGGGGGGGGGCAAATTGATTGTAGGGTTGTGGGTCCCCACCCCTCGACAGGAGAGAAACAAAGCCTGCATGGGCCCGAGAAAGGAACGGATGGGGGGCCCACAACCTACTAGGGGGGGGGGGTGGGGCGCCCCGCGGGCCCAGGTCTCAAAGGATGAAGGTGGTCTCTTCCCCCTCGCGGCCGCCAGCGCCCCCAGGCCGTTCCTGGGGGCCGGCACGCTCACCGCGAGGGGGTGATCACCAAGCTGTACTTCGCGGGGTGGTGCTCGCCGTGGTTGTCGTTCAGAGGGCCGCAGAAGTCGCCCATGTGGCCGCCGTAGTGGTCGGTCTGGGCGATGTCCTGGGCATTGGTGATGGCCTCTATGGCTTTGTTTTATGATGTCCTCGATGCTGTTGCCGTCGCTGTGGTAGTGCTCGCACATGATGGCTGTGTGTTTCTCCGATGTGGTTGCCCGATGGTGTTGTCTTAGCAGGGTGTGCTCTTGGATACGCAGGTGGCGTATGTCGCCGTCCAGCAAGATGGTGGGGGTGGTTGTGGCGATCGTATCATATGCTGCTGTAAGTGTTCTGTACATCGTGTGATTGTCTTTGGTGGCTTCTCGCTGCTGTCGTGTGCTTATCTGTGGCCGTCCCCATGGGTGCTGTCGGTTTCTTGCTTGCCCTTCGGATTTGAAGGAGTCAATGTTGGCGTCGACGATGTGCCGCGCCGCTCTTTCTTCCGAGGTTCTTGCTCGCACGCAGTAGCCCATGTCGTCGCCTTCGGCATTGTCGGTGCGTCTAATACGTATCTGGATTGCCGTGCTGTGTCGGTTGACTTGCCGCTGTATGACGTCGGTTAACTCGCTGGTGGCTTTGTCGCTAGCAGTGGTGATAAGTATCGTGTTCGGTGGTTCCCTGTCTTGGCTGGGTGGATGCCTCGGCTCGTCGCTAAGTGGCTGGCTGGGCAAGGTTGTCGCTTCAGGGATGCTGATTGGGACAGGTGTGCGTGTATCGTTGGTGAGTATTTTGGGGCCTATCGGCGGTCCGTACGTCTGTATTGGCGGTGCCTCGGCGTAGTCGTCTGGCAGCCCGTTGTGTCTGTGCCGCCTGACGAGTCGGACCTCCGTCGAGTTGGCATCGACCTCTTCGGCCGTTGCCCTGTAGTTGCTGGCCCTCCATGAAACGGCACATATGGTCGACGCCTTGACGTGCTTGATTAGCCTGTTCGCGGTGTGGGAGTTCTTCATGCAAATTTGGCATGTGTCTCCGACTGCGAAGTTGCGTATGTCGTCGTCGCTTCTGTGGTGGTTGCATGCGTGTTTGTTGTGCGCCGCCGTAGTCTGGAAGATTGCGCCACAAAGATAAGACATGACTGGCGCCGTCTTGGTCGCACCGTGCTCCTCGTCGTCGTGCGTGCGCGCAGGTCGGAATCCGATGGTTGCCGCGATGTTGGATGTGATGTTGTGCCATGTGGTTCGTCTCGTCGTCTCCGTATGCTGGTCAGTGGCCCTGCCGTATGCATGTGAGAAAATGGCTTTGAGGTGGCTGGTGTCGTACCGCGCCATCGACATGAGCTCCGTGATGTCTTTGGGGATTTGCTCGTGTCGTGTGTGGTCGCAATGGTGACGGTAGTGGTGCAGGTCGTTGTTGATGGTCGTGGGCCATTCTCCACCCCTCTGTATGTCGTAGTCTGCAAGTGCTTGTAGCTCTGGTGGACATTTGTGTGCAAGGCGTCGTACCTGTCTGAGACGAAGTCGTCGCAGTCGCTCTTGCAGTCGAGGATCTGGTCGTTGGTGATCCGCTGGGTGCGCATCTTGTCGTGGGTGATCCCGGTGGCCTGTCGTGCCGCAGATACGTAGGCCATTGTCAGTCTGTTCGTGTCGCCCCGAGTAGTTTGGTGCTCCTTGCATTTGTGACCGTGAACCCGATGTCCGCTATGCTGAGCTTCTCTTGAGTCATGGTTCGGGCTGTGCGCTTGCCGCTCTTGGTGTTGGGGTACACGATGTAGCTCGACTTGGCCGTATTGATCGGTAATCCTCTGCTGAGTGTCGAACGAATAAGATGTCCCCACATTGTGCTCACCAGCTGGTGGATTTCGTTGCCGTTGCTGGTCATAGCGGCTCTGGAATCCACGAATGATGTTGAAGATACCATCTTTGTGCAATCGCTCTGCTGGAAGTGCTGTGGTGCTTCGGGAATCGTTACCACGACGCCATCGGTGGTAGCTCGCTGGTGGTAGTCTGCTGTGACGTCTGCCATAAGCGCGTTGAATGTGAAGTCGGCTATTGGGACGCCAGGCCGAGTTCCCGATCTTGGTGCAGCCCAGCTCGCTTCTCTGCGTATATAGAACCATGTCCCTTTGTGGGCCTCTGTGAGCATCTCAACTATGTGCTGGTCCGTGACATGCTTGTTGACGATGCCGTCGTTGGTCATCAGGTGGGTGATGGCTGGGATCATGGCGTCGGGGATGTCTATGTTATTGATGACGTCGCTGATTTGATCTTCGTCGGGCTGCTGTACACCAGCTGGTTAATGACCTTGTGGAATGCTGCCTTGAGGTCGATCATGATGATCACGAGGTCGTTCTTTATCGCTTTGGCGGTATCGAAGAGCATCCTCCTCCTCCTCCTCCTCCTCCTCCTCCTCCTCCTCCGTCGTTCCTGATCCTTACATCTCACGCGCTCGCGGGCTCATCGTCCTCGTCCTCGTCGCCCTCGTTCGATCGCTCACGAGGGGCCACTCGCAAGTTCCGCGCAAGCCTCGCGTGCGCCGGAGGTTCCGGCAAGCTCTGGTTGTGGTCTGCGGTGCTCGGCACCGGAGGCATCTGGTGAATCATGCGGTTCTTTTGGAACTCCCCATGGGAGTCTTGGGGGCTCGCTGTGCCGTCTGAAGGCCATCATGTCACGTCTTGTGGCCAGCTGTGGTGCTTCGTTGGCTTTCTAGCGCTCCTCGTGGTCCGTTTTGAAATGTCCTGTGGCGGTTGATCCTCCTTTTCGTGCGGTCCATGAGTCACCCTCAGCTCCCCAGAAGGCGTACTCTGCCCGTCAAAGCCCCAAGACGGCTTGAAGAGGATCCAAAGAAGCGCTTAGTCTCCTAAAGATGGTCTCACATCGGCCCAAGAGGTTCAGCAGACGCCGCTGGAGGCTCCCAAGAGATCCTGAAGAGGCTCCCAAGAGGCCCCGCAGACTACCCCGAGAAGGGCCCCCAGAGGCCATCCCATGCTCCCCAAATGACTTCTACAACGGCTGCGAAGCACGCAGTCCAAACGCTTGCCCAAACTCTCCCAGGTGACTCGCCGTAGGCGTCTTCGATCTGACACCCCACGCAGCTTGCAGGAAGGGTGCGCGGCCTGCCACATGTTTTCAGCGGTTGGCCCTTCCAGCAGATTCCTTGTGGCTCTCGGCCCGCCCGCCGCCACCGCACACAGCACCCACCATCAAGACAACTCGCCTCCAAGCTAGCCAACATGGCTCAAGATGGTCCTCAAGACGGGCCAAGACGGCCCAAGACAGTCAAAGCTGGCCTCCCAGACGGCACGAGGTTTCAAGAGGCCTCCAAATTCGCCCCATATGCCTCCAAGACGGCCAAAATGACCCGGAGGGGGCCCGAGACTGTCCAGGACAGCCTGCAGAATCCCACACCGCTGACTGTGTTCACCGTTTGAATGGTTCATATTCTTACATTTTCCAGTTTCCAGCAGCGCGAGAGGGTCCAACAGCCTCAACGCGGCCAAAGAAACCCCAATGGTCCAAAGAAGCCCCCGACAGTCCCAAGACGACCAAAGCGTCACAAGATTGCCCCAAGAGGTCCAGAAGACCGCACCCAGAGGGCTCCAAAACGGCACTACAGCGACCAGAAGATTCCCATGACAATCCCCGAGGCTCCCGCGACGGTTTCTGGATGCGCCCGATGGGCCAACAGCGACGTCAGACGGCCCACGAAGCCCCCGAGAGGCCGGGGAAGTTTCATAGCGTCGCTCGCTCACTGCGGCACACCTCTCACACGGACCGTGGCCCGCGGGGAGTTCCACGGACGGCCCCAGAGACAAGGTTCTCATCCCGCCCCACCGCGTAGATCGGCACATCTCTCACACGGATCGTGGCCCACAGGAATCTCCACCTACGGCCGCAGAGGCAGGATTCGCATTGTGCCCTCCCCCCGCCCATTGCGGCACAACTCATCACGCAGATCGCGCCCATAGGGAGCACCACCTAGAGGCCCAGAGACGAGCTTCGCACAGCGCACCCCCTCCAAGGTCCCTCCTTATCCCCCCCTCATCCACCTCGTCCACTCGACGGCAAGCTCAGCGGTTCCTCTCCTGGCTTTGGTCGTGCTGATCCCTGTCTTTGGCTTGACAGCCATATCGCAACGCTGTTCCTCTAACTGCTCCCGACATGTCATCATCGAGGCAACTCGCCTGGCGATCGTCTCCACTCTGGATGGGCTTGCGGGAATGCACGAAACGTCAATAATATGATGCTGCGGGGAGAGTGCTGTTCCTGACATCGGTCCTGAGCCAAAACGCCCGCAGAGCGCGCGCAGTGGCCAACTCAACATGTAGCAGATCCATCTTAACCAAGAATCTGGAATATATACACATACATATATATATATATATATATATATATATATACACACTAGAACCATCGCGCGCGCTTGAGTTCTAGCTAGGGTCGTGATCATCGTCATCATTGTCATCCTCATCCCCGTCATCTTCATCGTCATCGTCATGGTCACCTTCACCATCACCATCTCCCATCATCTTAGATTAATACTTTTCCTCGTCGGAGTTTGTCTGAAAGGGATCCCTGTTCCTTCACCTCCTCCTCCTCTTCCTCCTCCTTCTCCTCTTCCTCCCTGTCTTCCCCGCTATTCGGGTGTGTCCCTCCTTATGCTCCTCCACCTACTTCACCTCCTTCCTCATCTCGAGCCCTCTTCATCCTGCGCTCCCCTTCACTCCTCGTCCTCAGCATCCCTCCCCGAGCCAGATAATCAGATAATAATGTAATATTACAAGCACAATGTCCCTCCTCCTCTTCCCCCTCCTCTTCCCCCTCTTCGTCCTCCTGATACTCCTCCCCATCCTCTTCTTCTTCTTCTTCCTCCTCTTCCTCCTCCTCCTCCTCCTTCTCGTCCTCCTCCTCCTCCTCCTCATCCTCCTCCTTGTCCTCCTCCTCCTTGTCCTCCTCCTTGTCCTCCTCCTTGTCCTCCTCCTCCTCCTCCTCCTCCTCCTCCTCTCTTTTCTCAGCGCACCCAGTAAACGGGTGCCTGCTGGAACGCGTGCCGTAAGCCTTTCTGGGAAGCATTGCGGCAGTCTCTGGAGCCTCTCCGAGCCTTCCTTTGGAGTCCTTTGGGGCCTTTGTTGGCACGTCTGAGGGCCCATTTCGGCCGTTCTGGGTCCCTCTTGGCTCGTCGTGGGGAGCTCTGCCCGCCTTCAGGCCCTCCTGGGGCCCTCTCCGACCATGTAGGAATCCTCTGGTGGCCCCCTCGGGCTTCCTGGGGGCTCTCTTAGGCCGTCTTGTAGGTCTTCTGTGCCGCTTCAAGGTCTCTTCAGCCCATCTTGAAACCCTCTCGGGGGCCCCTGGGCCGTCTGGGACCCATTTGGGGAACCTGCTGGGCCGTCGCGACCGCTGGTAGAACTAAAAAGCGAAGCTCCCATAAATACATGTCTTTCCATCGGAAATGCTTGATTTTTGCCTTTGGAGGGCCTTCTCAGCGGCCTCTTGGACAGTCGTGGGGGGGTCATTTGGGGCCTTTTGTGGCCCGTCTGGGAGGCCATTTCGGCTGTCCCAAGCCCCTCTTGGCATGTCATGGGCAGCTGAGCCGTCTTGGGGCCCTCATGGAGTCCTCTCCGACCATGTAGGGATCCTCTGGTGGCTCCCTTGGGCCCCCGGTGGACTCTCTCGGGCTGTTTTGGAGCTCTCTTGTGCTGCTCGACGCTCTCTTGAGGCTGTCTTGGATCCCTCTTGGGGGCCTCGTAGATTGTGTGGCGCCGATTTGGGAAGCCTTTGGGGCCGACGTGGCCGCCGATGGAACATAAGAAGCGAACGTCATAGAAATGTACGTGTTTCAATGGGAAATGCTAGTTTTTTGCACCCGGGAGCCTTTTCAGCGGCCTCCTGCACCGTTTTCAGGGAGACCTGGTAAGACTTTTTTGGACCCTCTGGGAGCCCCAATCGGCCGTCTTCGCCCGCCATGGGGACCTGAGCCCGTCTTGGGACCCTCTGGGGCCCTCTCCGGGCATCTAGGGATCCTCCGGTGGCCCCCTCGGGGTTCCTGGGTACTCTCTTGGGCCGTGTTGGGGCTCTCTTGTGCTGCTTGAAGCTCTCTTCAGGCCGTCTGGGGTCCCTGTTGGGGGCCTCTGGGGCCGTCTGGGGCCCATTTTGGTAACCTCTTGGGCCGTCGCGACCGCTGGTAGAACTAAAAAACGAAACTCCCATGAATATACGCTTTTCGATCGGACATGCTTGATTTTTGCCCTTGGAGTGCCTTCTCGGCGGCCTCTTGAACGGTCTTGAATGCCTTTGTGGCCGTCTAGGAGCAGTCTTGGGCTGTCTTCCAGCGCTCGTGGCCCGCCCAGAAGCCATCTCAATGCGCTCTTCAGCCACCATCCAGACAGCCTGGGGCGCTTTGGGCGCCTCTTGGGCCAGCTTGGGAGCCTCTAGGGTGCGGGGCCCCTTGTGAACCCTCTTGGAGCCCAAGGCCCCCCCGGCCCCCCATACGAACCAGACGCAGCAGTTCTGGGCCCTCCCCCGGCCTACTTCGATGTACATATCTATATATATATATATACACCTATATATACACATATATATATATAAGGATGTGTATGTGTGTATAAGTATACACACATACATGTATATATATACATACATACACACATGCAATACATACATGTACGCATGCATGCACGCATGCATACATACATACACACATACATACATGTACACACATACATACATACATACATACATACATACATACATACATACAAACATACATACATACATACATACATACATACATATATGCACACATACATACATGAACACACACATACATACATACATACATACATAAATACATACATACATACATACATACATACATACATACATACGCACATACACACATACATACATACATTCATCCGTCCATGCATGCATGCATACACACATACATACATACATACTCACATACATACATACATGCATACATACATACATGCATGCACATGTACACACACATACATGCATACATGCATACATGCATACGTACGTGTGTACGTATGTACGTACGTACAAACATACATACATACACATACATACATACAACCATACATACATGCGCACATACACACACACGCACATGCATACATACATACATGCATGCATACGTACGTACATAAATACATGCACACATACATACATACAAACATACGTGCATACATACACACATACACACATACATACATACATACATACATACATACATACATACATGCATACACATAC